TAACTTTTGTTGACTCACACCAACTTATAAAAACACTGTGTCCTTTTCATCTGTATCTGTAACGTGTGGAGGGTGGGTTACCCCCACGGTACTAAGGCCTCTTTAGGCCCATTGTGCATCCTCCTTCCTGAGATGATAGGCACCTCCTAGCTCGTGAGCCAGCCTACAGATTTTATGTAGTTGACAACGTCGCCAAGAGGTGCTTCTCTTATATCGGCCGGTGTTAGCCGATACTCGCCGAACACAAATTTTCTAATAAATGAGAGCGTCGGGCAATCGTAAACGATATGCTCGATGGTCTCATCTTCTTGTTCGCACCCTCTGCAGAGTGTGGATTCTGACAGCCTCATGATATGAAGATGCTTTCGTACTTGGCAATGACCAGTCAGAATGCCTCTGACTAGGCGCAGATTCTGTCTAGTCATAGTCAAGTATTTGTTTGCTGCAGTGTTGTAAGGATAACTTAAAAGCTCTTTGGCAATTCTGCAGTTTCTTGTTTCATCCCATCTTTCCTTGAACTTCACAAGGGAATGTTTTTTGATTAGGTATGTCAATACCGATTTTGTCAGGCCAATAAAAGGGCCAGGTCCAAAAAGTATTTGGTTGGCTGCTTTCTTGGCTAGTGAATCAGCAAGACGGTTACCTTTCGATGTGGCGTGACCTTTGATCCATCTTAAGGTGACCATATTGTTGATGGATACTTCGGCCAAAGCTTCGTGACATTCTAGTACTAACCCTGAGTAAAGTCGTGGTCTGTTTAGGTTGAGTAGTGCTTGTCTGCTATCTGTATAGATGAGCATGTTCCTTCCAGTGATATTGTTTCTGGTTATTTCTTTTGCTGCTATGAGAATACTCGTTAGCTCTTTTGGAACTACTACTATTGCTCACAACCCATTTTATGTTTAGGTTTAAGAATCTGGAGTATATTCCACATCCTGAGCCTTGTTTTGTTTTAGAACCATCGGTGTAGATATGAATCGTACCTGCCACTTCCGGCTCTTCTATTTGTTCTATTATAACTTTATATGGCTTATGGAAGATATTCATATTTTTTTTTTATTTTTTTGGAAGCAGATTTAATGTAACATTTCTTGCAGCATCAACAATTTCTGGAGGTGTATTTGAGTCACTTTCACTTATATCCAGTATTTTTAGTTTCTAAAAGTAAATATTTTGACAAATACATACACACAATATTGCCGAATTTAAATTTTGCTACGTTAATTTGACAGACACGGCTAACTTGACTAGCAAACGAAAAGTATATTGTGCTGCCTGCTTTCTCTAGGATTAATTTTATGATATGCATAAAAAATATTTGTTAGTAAGTACATCTTAAAAATAACTTACAATATCATCGGTTAGAATACTCAAATCGCAAATTAAAGGCTCATACATTGTTTTAAGTTTTATTTAATTTAACAATCAAAAAACTAAAATTTAAAAAAAAAATAAATAATAACTTGTGAGAATGAAATTCAAGACCATCAGGTTTAAAGACAAACGCGCTAGACTCTACACCAACAAGACATGTTAAATATGAGTGTTAAAAACAGGGTAATTTATTTTTAATATTTTAATCACCATTTAAGTATTAAGGAAAATGAGTTTGGGTATTAAATGTTCAACTAAAAGATTCAGATTAGTCTACATTTTCTTTTAAAATACCCATTAGCTTTTTAATAACAACTTTTCTAATGAAATTTTCCAATAAAAATAGACGTGTGCAAAAAGTAACTTTTCGCCTATATGCATCAATAATGTCAAACTATGACAATTCATGGAAAACGTCAACTATTCAGTTAGATTTAAATGTGCAAAAGCCTACTTTGGATAGTGATCATAGAAAAAAAGCTTTAATATAAGTTTAATAGTTATAAGTAATAGGCCTTAAAAATGTTTACAGTCAAATAATTTTGCTCTTTTAGAAGTGCCTACCATAATGTTCTTAAAACTATATAGTTCGTTGGATTTTCATTACGATATCAATATGGGTGTTAGTAAATAAGTGCGACAAATTTCAGGGGGTGATTCAGCATGAAAAAATAATGACAGTTTGCTATATAAACGCATGTCTGAAAATGCTTCGTTTTCCGAATACGGGGTGTTAAAGTTTTTCTTAAAAACTGACGATTTGTTTATTGCTCTGAAACCGGTCAAGATATGCCCCATACGAAAAGATTTTTGTCGCAGATTAAACGAGGAACTCAAAAGTGATTTTTAATTTGAAATATCTCAGTGGCGTACCATTTTTTTCTTTAAAATAATTGAGATCATTACCCATATGCGCGCCAATGATGAACATAAAGTTCTTAAATGCATGTCAAAAAATGCGCCTCTTAAAGCCCGCCAAATTTCATTTGCATATCTCGACGGGATTCAGAGCAATAAGTAAATCATCAGTTTTTAAGAAAAACTTTATTCGGAAAACGAAGCATTTTCAGACATACGTTTTTATAGCAAATTGTCATTATTTTTTCATGCAGAACCACCTCCTGAAGTTTGTCGCACTTATTTACTAACACCCCATATATCTTTTCCAGGGAATATTGCAGATCTGTGACTGAAATTAATAAAATATGATAGAAATTAGCTAAAATAAATCACTTAAAAATTTACTATGTACTTTTCAATAAGTGTTTCTATAGTTTCATTTATCAATTTTAATCATCATTTTCTTTAATATTTTATTTAAAACACCATAAAATTAAAAATCGCACACCATCCACATGAAAGTGACGTTTAATAATGACCTCACGTTTCAATAGAACCCTCTGGTGGTGACACTTTACCTGTTACTCCTCATTATAGATACTGTCATAAAGGATATTTTTAAAAAGTTTATTAAAATTACACAAAATTGCTATGTAATTCCAGATGACAGTGGAATAGCTGTTTTAAATGTTGGACATATTTTTTTTTATTTCTATACTTCGGTATCTTAACTAGAACGTTTGTACAATATTTTTTACCAGAAAGCTAAGAATGTTATCACAACCAGAAAACATTTTAGTTTTTAGTTTCTTGATGCATTTAGTATGTTAAGTTCAGATATACTAAAGCGATATATATGTGATATTAACGTTGACAAATTCTGATGCAAGATAAAGAGGTTTGGAGTGTAGAAAGACACTCGAAAAAAAGCGGAGAAGCCATTAATTATTGACTGGAACAATTGAATGCTTCGGATCCTGGTATTCTTGATTTACCACGTTCTATATATACAAAGAACCAACATTTTTTGGAATCATTAGTGATGACATCTTCACTGCTTTGTACATATGCTGCATATGAAACTTGGATTTGTTGTTTAATAAAACTTCTTAGCTGTTTAAACTTATTTTAATAAGATTCAGCTTTGAATTTTGTGTAATTAATTCTCGCATTCTTTTTAGCTTTAATACCATCAATAATTTATTTTGTAAAACAGGTTGGATATTTAAGATAAACCTCTCCAAATCATCACGGAAATCTTGAAACCACTATCATAATTTTGAAATCGTCATCGAAATCCCAAAATCATATTTAAATCCCGAAATCGCCACCGAAATCCTAAAAATGTCATCTTAATCCCGAAATCAATAGCGAAATCCCGAAATCATCAACGATGTCACTTCAAAATCAATATTTTTCGCGCCCTAATCAACATGATCCCGTGAATCGGTCATAGTAACCCGGGGTGACCGGGTTTAGCGATTATAATCCAGAACCCAGGTTAACATTAAAGTTTTCTGGGAAGAGGCCGCCGATCTGGAATAAAGGTGGATTCAAAAAATATAAAAAAAAATATTCCACATTAAAATCATATGAATTTTTGGTGATTTTCAAAATACGGGTAAGTTTTGACCTTAGTGGTTTATCCCTCGCCTAATTCTCATTTAGTTTTCAATACCCTCAATTCCTTTCCAATTCCTCACAAATTCATTGCCAGTTCCTCGCTAATTTTGAGCCAAAATTCTTCGTCAATTCCTCGGCACTTTTTCTGTTCCCGGTATTTTCTAATTAAATCCCTGTTCATCCCTTATCAAGTCTTATAATTCCTCGAAATTCCTTGTAATTTCCCTGCTTAAACACCTGATTCCTTCTACATCTTACCCCCTCGTCGTCGACTAAAAGTTTATAATAATTCAAATTTGTCTTTTCAGTAAAACATTTTTATTCCACGGTGGAATATTTCTTCCCCTTCTTACTAGATTAATTATGAGATAAGTGATTAAAATAATAGTTATTTTACTAGATGAAGTGCAAAAACCTCTAATACAATCAACATTAAAATTTTTGTTCTAATATTATTATTAAACACCATACAGTTATTTTAATTTTAACTAAAACGGTTAGCCATTTTTAATTGTTATACGTCATGTCAATCTTAGACCATGTTCAAGAAAAACAAAATGGTAGTTTGGCGCAAGTATGTCAAATTAAACAAAATGAAGAAATTTTAATTACTATTTGTTAAAATAATTTAATAAATTAAACACTGTATTGGCAAAAGTAAGTCGAATTAAAGTAACCAAATATATAGCTAACTATAAAGAAGAAAAAAAAAAGAAATAAGTACAAAATGTAGTTTCTAGGTCATGTCAAACTTATTAACTAGTACACCCACTTCAAAAATGTTCATAATTTACCCCAGAACCCATCATAAATATCTAAAGAATACACATTTGGTTTATACATAATTAACGTTACCATTCATCATATTAATTTAAGGGTGAACTTAACATTGTTATTTAATTAAATACTACAAAAAATCTATCATAGTAATTTATACAAAAGTGGCTATATTTTTTAAATAAATTACAGTAATAAAAACTTAGGGCTATTTGTACTGCTAGCCAATAATAAACAAGTACAGCTTAAAATGACATTTGTAATGGTAAAATGTAATTTTGTGCTTTGCTTATTTCTTAAGGACTAGCGGTATAAATGATCTTAAAAAAATTATGAAAAAATGATGTTCTTTACTTATTAGTATTTAATATGAGAAACATTTTTACCAGGAGTCATAGGTATCCTAGTTTGTACGGACCAACTGCCCATAGTAGGATAAATAGACCAGGATCCACCCCACGCCGCCAAATCCCTGCTCTCCCTGTCCTTATCATTCTGACAACTCACTAACTTCAAACAAAAAACCATCAAAACTAAAATACACCAGTTCATCTTCAATTCACAAAAACCCTCGTACTGCCGCGAAAATTTACATATCCGTATCATTTAACTATACGACTGCCGCGTTTACGGGAAGTCCGTGCAAGAAGGAAGAATAACCGCACTATTGGAGTCAGTGGTGCCACTACTGCAAGCACTTGGCAAGATTGGCTGGATGTCTAAGTCGTGTAGCCGACTGTGCTTTAGATTTTCATGTTCTTTGTAATGTAATGGGCATTGCTAATGTCAAATATTATCGAGCTTTACGCTTCAATTCGTTTGGGTACAACGTACAACGGGGACCGGGTGCGTAACGTTTTCATTTACGCAGGGACGTAGAAAAAAGTTTTTTCAGCATAAAAAATCGTTGTTGGTATGTCAGGGTATGGTTTAGAGCTTTGGAACTGGTCTAAAAGTTGAGATATAAACATACAGGGTATAACGAAAATGTAGGACACGCATTTACATATTTTGTCAAAAATATTCAAAGAGGTAGAGGTAACATTGAAATAATATGCCAATGCGCAAAATTTGTCAAAACAGAAAAACTCGGTGAAAGGACTTGGGAGATGTTCTGAATCGTACATTTAAACATTTAAAAGATAAAAAATTATAAGAAATTTTTGAATTCTGTAGGATTTATTTATGATAAGGGCAATATTGTTGAGAAATCCTTAGATCCCTTAGTAACCGAAGATAACCATCATCCAGCTTTAGATATCAGTTGTGAATTAATGGAAAAACTTGACAACAAAAATAACCTAGAATCTTTTTATACAAATTGTTATAATTTTCGTAAGGCAAATTTTCCACTTATGTATAATATGATATCAAATATTGACTGGACTTTTTTAGAAAGCTTTTGTAGTGTCGATGATACCTGTACATATTTTTATGGCAAGTTGTATAATGTGTTAGATCGTTGGGTAGCCAATTATTCAGTGCATAATAAAAAAACATATCCTCCTTGGTTTAATACCAGTATCATTAAAAAAATAAGAGATAAGTCAAAATTTTGGTGTCAATATAAAAAAGACAATGATATCAGGGCTTTCGAAAAATTTAAGCGCATAAGAGCTGAAGTTAAAATTGCAATTAAAACAGCACATGAAAATTATCTGTTAAAAGCAGAGAATGATATATCTATTAACTCTAATAAGTTTTGGGCCTACGTCAACAGTAGTAAAGATGCTAATAACATGACCGATGAAATTAATACACTAGATAATCCTGCTGACATACTAAATAGTTTTGCTGGTCTTCTCAGCAAGTCCTACGTTCATTCTAAAGTTTCTCATGTTGATGTGAATGAACTTTAATTAACTTGTTTAAATATTGACAGCTTTGACAAAAGCCAGGTGCTTGACGCATCTATAAAACCTAAGCGTACTACGGGACCCGACCATATTCCTGCATTCATTTTGAAAGATTGTGCCCAAGTACTGGCTTTGGTGTGGTGGCCAAAGACACAGCAAAGGAAAGCAATAACGAGGCTAAGCAAGGTACAAAGACTTACCTGCCTCGGAATAACAAAGGCAATGAAAACAACCCCCACTGCTGCAATGGAAGCACTAATAGGACTCCCACCTCTTCACTATGTAATACAAGGGGAGGCAAGATTAGGTGCTTACAGATTAGGGAATACACTGGGAAATCTTGACATTAGGCCAGGTCACATGAATATCTCAAGGTTAGTGACAGGAGACGTGCTAGACATGAGATCAGACCACATAACCAAGAGGTACTCTTTTAATACTCCCTTTGAGGTTTTAATACAGGAAAGAGCGGAGATCAGCATAAGGGAGCCCAATGCACAACGACAGGAACAAACCTGGTATACAGATGGGTCTAAGACTGCGGAAGGCACTGGGGCAGGAGTATTCTCCAAAAACCCTGATACTAACCATAGCTATGCTATAGGAATACATTCCTCGGTATTTCAGGCCGAGGTATACGCAATTTTGCAATGTGCAAAAATGAACAATGAAAGAGCTGTCGAAAATCAGCGTATTCAAATAATGTCAGACAGCCAAGCGGCACTTAAGGCCATATCGAGTCAGAAAGTTACGTCGAGGCTGGTATGGGAATGCATCGAAGAACTAAGAACACTGGCAGACCGAAATAGAGTAAAACTATTTTGGGTGCCAGGTCACAAAGGGATCGAAGGCAACGAAAAGGCTGACGAACTTGCAAAAAGAGGGTCAGAAGAAACACCGGAACTAGACACAAACCCAGGAGTACCAAAAAGTACAGTCCGGGGTTTTATAAATGACTGGATTCGGGAACAACATATCAACTATTGGGGAAGCACCCCAAAACAGGCACATGGAAAAGCCTTCATAGGCAGACCATGTCCCAAAAGAACTGGAGAACTACTCTTAATGAATAGGAACCAGTTGCCTGATCAATATTTGCATCCGTTCTAGTACTATTCCGTGCATATGGAATCCATTGTATCGTACACATTGGTCGATTGCAAGGAATTGAGAGACAATTCCTAAAATATTTAAGTTTTAGACATTATCTAGTTTATGTACCCATTGACACCCCACACGACGCCTTATTAAATAAACATGGATTTTCAAGTCTCGATATTCCTAGGTAGACAGAGTCGTTATAATGTACTGAATGAATAGTAAAATATATTGTTTTTGTTACGTTTATTATATATTATTTATACGGGGTGATTTATGTGAATTACAAAGAAATTATTTTTACGAGGTGATTTATTTAAATTTTAAATAAAGTAACTGAATAATCTGTAAAAAAATGCTTGTAATTTTTAAACAGAGTTATTTTAAATCAGACAACCAACCAATTTAAATTAATTTTAAAGGGCAAACAATAAAAAAAAAGCCTTTTAAAAAGTGTAGATATTTCGACATCTTCATGAAAGAATAGTGATTAACTGTACTTTTTATGCAATTTAAATTGTCGCTTACAAAGCTTCCAGTTCGTTTTATTCACGATTCGAATTTTAGTTTCTTACAATGACTAAATTAAACCACAGGCATTCTTATTACCTTTAAACTTGTATAAAAATGTGATTTTATATATTTGGGCGCCACCCCTTTTATCATGACACCGTTAATAATAAAATAAATTATCTTATCTTATGGAAGATTACCACACAGTCGCCTCTATCCCATTATACTTTTTGACATTTATTATATTTACCGATATTTTTTAAATTTTGTTCTATTTAATTTTAAAAGAGACAAAAATTGTACCTTCTAAAATGATAAATTTGGTAAAACTGTTGCAAATTTGTCAAAAAAAAGATTGTTAGAACATGTAAAAAACTAAAAATTATTGACAAAATAATTTCTAAATATTTTTATAATAAATTCACATCGGTTCATTTAAATATTCATACAAAGTTGATTGGTTAAATTACAAAACCAATTTCTTTTAATACAAACATATCTTTGTAAGTTAATCGTTTTCATCACACTCTTTTTAAATAAAATTTGGATACCTACCTTCAGTAAGTCATTATAAAGCAATTTTAAACAGAGAACAAATGACTAATGCGTTTTAAATAGGAGTTTCATTAAAATAAAAAATTTCTTTTTAAACATAACACCCTGTACTTAACTACAAATAGCAAGCAAAACAGTCGACGTGCCACTTATTGCAATCAGGTAAGTGACTATAAGATAATATTGTTTGCAACTTGATTTTGACGATAGTCGCTATTAGTGGCTATTAGTTTGGCAGCTCCGTCATTTTGTTAGTTAAAAATATATTTAAAATGCCTGAAGTAAGGAAAATAACGATCAAAATGGAACATGAAGACTTTTCATATGATTCATGTACACGCTATCAGAAATTGCAGCATTTTGCGAAGACGTAACTAATAAATTGTTGTAGAAGATATAACAGAAAAACCGTTTTCGGCTATAGATCCATTTTCAAGCCCATAAAATTTTGACACTTTACAAATATATGAAATTAATAGAAGAATTACACAAATTTAATATCTTAAAGCAGTGTTTCCCAAACTTATTTAAAGAACAACCACGTTGTGCACGACCCCCTATTACCCCCTACTCATCACCCAACCTACAATAGCGACAAAAATAGTGTGCCCAATTTACAAGTAACTGACGGTTTGTCAAATTTTATTTCACTTTACTGTTTAAGTTTAAAATAAATAAATTAAAAAAGTTTAACAATTATTTTAATAATTGTGATCTGCCCCACTAGTAACTACTTGTACTTCTGCCAGACTGGCATTTGCAATAAAAATAAATAATAAAAAATTGTCTGCACATTGTAGAGCGCAAAATCTTTGTTTCTGTCTACATTGCAATACTTATCCATGATATTCACGCAAGCGCTACTCCTTACTTCCCTACTAGATAGCACTCTGGAACCTGATAATCCACCTGACAGGCAACATCGATCCCCACACATTCACTCTAGGTTTTTAGAAACCTACTCACCGCTAACTTGACTCAAAAAGCAATTTTTAACATCTTAAACACAAACGAATTATTCCGACAAAACTTAACATTCGTTAAAGCTAACTTCAACAGGACAGCCCTAATCAAGGCCACCTCTACTAAAACCCCCACCGAACTCCAGACACTCATCCGACACCCATGCGGACCCTCCAAACAAAACCCCCTGCCTTCCATCCCCAAATCTACGGAGTCATCCACTCAACCCCCGACGAAAAAACCGTAGCCTACAAAACCCACTTTGAAGCCACTTTCAGAACCTCTGACAACCCTCACTTTGACGAACAATTTAAACACAAGACCAAACAAAACGTCCTTTAGACACTCCCCGCCCCAGTCCCACCCTTGGATGTTGAAAACCCCCTCACTTCCATATTCACTCTCCAAGACATTCAATATGCTTATCAAGCAGGCCAATACATGACCTCCGGCCTGATTTCATTCACAGAAAAACGCTGAAGCATCGTCCTGTAACCATCTTTCCCATCCTCACTCTTCTCCTAAATCCCTGTTTTTCCCTCTCCTGTTTTTCACTTGCCTGGAAATCTGCTAACACCATTTTGATTTCCAAACCAGACAAAGGCCCCAAATCCATAAATTCATACAGACCCATCTCTCTCATATCAGT